TTTAATTAATACAATTTTGTGAATTGTAGTATTTTTCATGATTTTATTAATAAAATTATAAAAAATAATATAATTCTTAAATATTTACTAATTAGACCTACTTTAATACTCTAAACAAGCTTGTTTTATATATAAATATACATTATATCAATATATGCTTACTTTATAATGTTAAAGTTGAGGTGTGGCAACTTAGTGAAGTGGTTTAGTTGTTACCCTCTCCAAGTGGTAGGTCTAGAGTTCGAATTTCACGGTTGATGATTTTGAAAAATAGGCCTGTGTTCTGGTAACCTGTATATCATAATTGAATCTTGGATTGAGAATCTGTAACTTGAGTTGTACTAGAGAGTGATTCTGGGAGATTTGCTGGCATTTGTATAACTGGGAAAAACCGGAAACTACAAAGGAATACAAACCGGTTTAGGGCAGTGCAAACACTTGATAAGTTCATGATTGCATAAATCTTGGAAATCACCTTTACTATACAGGAAGCCCATTTGGGAAGTTCCAAGTTTGGAGGTAGCAGTGATCTTTGACGGTACTACATGATAGCTGAATTTGAACCAGGGCCGAGATTGGAGAACCGAGCAACCAGGTTCTTTAGTAGAGGAACATATTAGCCAAACTGCTGGTTTAGATACACTGGAGGAAAAGGTCATATGCTCCAAAAGTATGAACCAATGGAAGGGCATTCTTTAGACACCTGAAGCCTGGGCAGACCAACCTGTCCGGGTTGCTGGCTGGAAGTAAGGGAGAGACCAATTAAGAATCTGGGTAAGAAGACGATTGGATTGGGGTACTGGGGTTGTTGTGAACCAATACAAGAGCAAGAGTATGTAATGGAAGACTAATTAGGAAGGTTGTGTTTGAGATGCAAATTGTGTTATAGCAGTACCCCAAAAGGTGACATGAGATACCAACACAATGGTGGCAGACAATATGTACTAATTGGGAAGAAATTATCGAACATGCAGGTGAATACACATGTGGGATGTAGACCACTCTGTTAGGTTTACCTTATAGATAGATTAACCTCATTGGGGTTAGTAAGTTCTAAGGTGAGTGCAAAATTAGATTAGGCAATAGTGAACTACCTGTGTATAGTAAGCTACGCCTCAGGTTAGATAGTATCTATTAGTTTGAAAATAGGTTACGGTCAGAGGGTTTAAATGGATACCCCCCTAGTTGAAGTATGGCAGATAGTGTAGAACCTTTAGGCAAACTACTTAAATTAGGCACCCAAAAGATACACGTGTGGCTATATGTACCTTTACTATAATTGAAAAACAAAACTATCTAATAAAATGTTTCCTAGCCAAAGAGGTCACCTTAATACTAAAAAAAATAAAAATAAAATAATGTTAAAGTGAAGAGAAAAATGCTTAATTTTGAAATTTTTGATTAAAAATTCAAAATTAAGTATCTTTTTTTTCTTAAAATTTAAAATTATAAAATAAATATATATTATATAGTATATTTTTATATATAGAACAAGTTTATTTATAATATGAAGATAGATTTAATTAGCAATTTTGTGATTTTAATATTTTTTATAATTTTATTAACAAAATTATAAAAAATATTGTAATTTTTAAAAGTTTGCTTAATAAATCTCTTTTTAGCTTCTAAATAAACTTGTAAAATAATATTTTTAATCAAAATAGTATTAAACCATTAAAATCAGCCTAGTAAAATACAAGATATAAATATTTTAGTCTTTATGTTTTTTCTTTATATAAATAAAGAAGAAAACACATAGTTGCAAAGACTAAAATATTTATATTTTGTAATTCACTAAGCTGATTTTAGTATTTTAACCACTATTTGATTAAAAAATATGCAAATTGAACTCTTTTTTTTTTTTTTTTTTTTTTTTTTTAAAGAGAACCTCTTTGGCCTGGGAAACGTTTTATTAGGATATAAACGGAGTTTTATAATGTAGTTACATCGATGGTATATCAAGCCACACGTACACCTTTTGAGTGTCTAATTTAAGTAGTCTGCCTGAAGGTTCTACACTATTTGCCGTACCTGCACCCCAACTAGAGGGGTACCTATTTAAATCATTTGGTTCCAACTACCTCCATCATAACCCTAATCCGTAGGTATTACTCACTATATGGTTGTGGATTTTGCATCTACCCATAGGAATTGGCATTCTACCTTAGAACTTACTAACTTAAGCTAATCTATCCTCGAGGTAAATGCAAATTGAACTCTTATATATAAAATTTAAATATATTAATATACAATTTAAAAATCCAACCTTTTAAGCAATTTTTTAAAAGAATATACAAATTTTTTTTTTTTTTGCTAAGTGTCTGGAGACTAGAGTCTATTAACATTTTAAATATTAAGGCCAATTAACCTAGTACAAATTGTATTTTATAGTGACAAATTTAATCTAATCTATTCATATCTGATATATTATATAATCTTAGTACTTTTATATTCAACACTGCTACTACACTTTATCTATTATTAATAAGCTTTTAGCTCAAACCTTTTGTCTTACTTAAGATAGGCATTAGCTACATATGTTTACCCAACTTTTTTGTAACCCACACACTCCAGATTAGGTATCAGGGATATTATACCTTTAAATTTAAGGGTGTTACTCTATATATTCTCTGCTCTTATAGAGTTTACATCCACTTTGATATCTACTTTATTTCTCTCTTAAATTTTTCTTCCTAGCTTAATACTTGATTCAAAATGAGATTGGTTTATCCTGGTTTTATGTACCCTTGGACTCTAAGCTTCTGGTATGTGATTTTATAACACATACTATATATTTCCAAAAATAAGCTACTCCCTCACTTTTGAGCAAATCTTCTCTTACTCAAAAATAAGCTATTACCCAAATTTTTTAACAGTTGTTATATATAAACGTCAAAATTGTACTAAATAAATCTATATTTGTTAAATAATAAAAGTTGTTTATAATATAAAAATACACATATCTTAAAAGTTGCATACAATTTGGATAACTTTTTACTAGTCCAGTTTTGCATTTTAATTTTGAACTTAAAATACAAAAGTGCATTAATAAAAAGTTATCCAAATTGGTTTAAACATTTAGAATATATGTAGTTTTAAATTTTGAACAACTTTTATTAATTGTTAAATATAGATACAATTTTAATCTTTATATATAGAAACTATTTTACTTAATAAAAAATAATCAAAAATCTCTCTTATCCAAAAATAAGCTACTTTTGAAATTTTCATGTAATTTTTTGCCCAAAAATAGTAGCTTATTCTTAGGAATATATAGTATTCTTTTTCTCTAATACAACTTCAGTAGCCACTTTAGTCAACTTCTTATCTCAAGAGGTCTAGTCTAAACAATGCCCTAGGACTGGTATCATTCAAGTTCTATTCTGTAGCATTATCGAAAGTTTTGTTATCTTCCTACTCAGATTCTCCCAAACAAGTTTTTAGTTATCCTAGCTTTCTAGGATTTATATGGCATTGACTTATTGTGGGTTTGTATCTGATAATTACCAGAATGCATTCTTTTGCATAATCTGTATACAGATACATAGTTTACACTCTACCACTTTGTAATAGCTTACTTCCTATTTGAGATAGTATTATTTAAGATTACAGATTGTAGATTCAAGACATTTTTGAGATAGCTATTAACTGTAATATAGCCCAGTATTTAAAATCATCGTTTATAGAATTTGAACACTAGATCTGCTACTTAGTAAGTGATGATTAGACCACTTCACTAAGCTGCCACACCTTGAATACACAAATTTAAATTTTATATTATTTAATTTGTCTATAATAACAATGCATTTTCTAATCTAATCTATATATAAATATTTTGGGTCTATCTTAGCATACTATAAACCTTGTGTATATATTTGTGTATTAGTTTTTTTGACTTTGCTAAAATTAGAATGTTATCTAAGTAGGATATTAATCTGATTCCCTAAACCCTAAAAATTTTTATTATTGGTTTTAGAACTTTGGTGAATATTCTGGAACTTGTTATAAGACCAAAAAGTAAAGCTATAAATGCATATCATGTATTCTGAAAGTCAAAAGCAAAAAAAAGATTTAACACTTGGTGATAAAGAGATGTGATAAAAAGTGTTTTTTATGTTGATTTTTGTCATATAATCTTCATGTTTTAGCAATAACTTTACTAACTATATATTTTTTATTTTGAATTTTTATGTCAAATAAAAGTATTTAATTGCTGAAGATCTATTACTGAACAAAAGTTTTTTGCCTTTTTAAATACCAAGAAAATATTGGATAAGAAACAAAAAATGTTTGTAGAGAATTTTATTATTACCTTCTGTTTGATTAAATTTTTGACTTCTTTGTTTAACAAAGATCTTTTCTTTAAAAACATCTTTTGATAAGTTTTTTTAAAGTTAGTAAGTATTGCTATATGGGTTTATAGCCATTTTTTATGATATTCATTATTTACAATTTGCCAATCATATTAATTTATCTTTGATAAAAGTAAGATAGTCTTACCTTCACATTGCTCTTTATTGATGAGACTGTAATTAGAAATCATTTTAGAAAAAAGTTTGATTTTGTTTCCAACATGTTGTATTTTGAAGCCAAAAGTTTAATACATTGTATTGAAAATTTCTTCTTTTATAAGATTTATTCTGATATACAGGTTTGTTTTTAAATCTTATTTGAGAAAGTTGTGCTTATTTGTTCTGCTAGATAGCATTATTGAAGAATTTTGTTTTCTTGTTTTTTGCTTTGATAATATTTTTTTTTACTTCTAGTTTTAACTAGTGAGTAGGATATATATATTTAATTGCATGTTCTTCTCTTTGTTTGATGATGTATAATAAAGAGTTAAAAAGTAATATTCTGGATAAAAAAAGTGGATTCCCAGATCTTTAAAGCCTGTTTATTTTAAGAGTCTAGCTTTGTTTAATATAAGGTCTGAGTGTAGATGAAATATGATATGAAATGTGTTGTAAGGTTTTATCTATCTTTTTTGCTTTTTTTTATATTTATTTAGCCAGTTCCTTGTTTATAGAAGGAGGCATGAATTTAATAAGAGTATTCCGGAGGAATGTTTGAAGAATATACTGACGTATTTCATTTAATAATTTATATTCTTTGTAAATTCTTGTAAGGAGCTTATCTATTTCTTCTGTTAAAATAAATAACACACTGTTTTCATTAGTAATACAATATTATGTTATTTGTTAGAGACTTGATATTGTTTATAATTTGTTGATTCTTGAACTATATCTGTGTTAATATCATTTATTAATATCGTTAAAAAGTGTAAGTAATTTTGGGTTGTTTAAAGTTGTAGACAGCAAACCAAAATAAAATAGCCTAAAAATAGATTAGTAATGTCTTAGTCTTATATATATATAATAACTTTATTACTCTAATGTATCAAACATATAACTTCACAATTGGATACAAATCTAATAAAATAGGCTAAACTATATAATCTGCAATTCACTTATGAATGAAGTTTATTTGAAGATTTTTGCTACTTCTAAAATCAAATAAATTTGCTAAAAATTTGATTATTATATAAAAAATTAGCCTAATTTGCTAAAAATTAAATTATTATATCTATTTTTAATAAATATAAAATTAAATATACCAGAATAATATATTTTTTTATACTAAACAAGTTTTGTTAGAATATAAAGTTAAAAGACCTGTAAGTTGATAGTATAGCAGTTATGCTTCTAAGTTGCAAATTGCAAGGTTGCTAGTTTAATTTCTTTTAGTGGTGAAATAATAAAAAACTAAACAACTCTTTCCAACGATTATATGGACCAAAATTCTTGCTAACGGAAAAAACAGAAAAATTTGTTGAAGAGTCATGGCCTAATGGTGGTTTGTCTAGAAGTCAACCTTCTGCCATAGAGGACTCCTCTACAAGAACATTTGGCATACAAGCCAAGAGCGTTATTATACAAGATAACTAGCAAGGAGTGCCCTTGTATAAAAAATCTTGGTGGCGAGTTGTTCAGGAATGGACTGATGTCATCAACAAAGCTTTTAGATCATTACTTCGAAGAAGAACACTGAGAAAATAACAAATTATATGTTTGCTTTGAAGCTGCACTCCTTTTTCTGTTTCAAGTGGCTCCTCTAGTACTTATTTTCGACTTCTTGCTATTCTTTCAAAAATTTCAAAAAAAAGTGAGGATTTGGCTTACCCTCTCCAAAAGATTGGCATTGTTTATATCCAAATCTGGACAGACTCAGTATATTACAACTGATATGTCTTGTTTACTTAAAAGATATAGCGTTACTCTACATGACTTAAATCAAGATTTTGGGTTAAAGAGGTATCTGGATTCGGCTCTTAGTCAGAAGATATATATTATGTTTTTTGTTTTTTTAGAATCGAGATATACAATGGTTATAGTTGTTATAAAATTTTTATTATAACTTGGCATGGGTTATAACAGTGCATTTTTCCTATTCATGGCAACTTTTGGGTTGCTTGGTTGCTTTTTGATAGAGATAGCATCCACTTTGTCAGCCTTCTTGGCTTTTTTCTTTGTTATTTTTTTTTACATGTCCTTTTCCCTCCTTTTTTTTTTTCTTTAAAATTCTCCTTTTGTTTAATTTGTTTTGTCATTAGATATAGTTTTCTTTTTGTTTTATGATTGATGGTTTTGTAGTATTAGTATAAAATTACTACTTTCTTTTGCTCTTGGTAAAGAAAGAAGAATTGAAGAGATTAGCTCTCAACAGGCTGACAAGGTCTATCTAACTTGTTACAAGATAGTGCGATAAGTCACTTATGGGTATGGTTTTCACAGCCAGGAAATATCAAGCTTGCAATTTTTAAGGCTTAGTTTAGTTGGAATGGTTTACTATAGTTGATTAAATAAATAAAGTTTTTGTATTCAAGCTTTGACAAGACTGTCAAAGAGTTAAAAAAAAAAAATAATAAATAAAAAAATAAAAATTATAAAATCAAATATAAAGTAAAAAGAGATGTAGCAACTTAGTGTAGTGGTC